ACAGCAGGCTGCTATATCAGCGTTGATATATGTAACAGTCATCAGACATGCGGCCTCTGGTTTACTTAAAGCGCCGGGCATGTTCTGATTATGCCGATAAGGAAATTATCTAGCAGAACATCTAATTCTAGTGAGATTTACGTTATGCGGTTGCCAAATAGAAAGACCCGTTTGAAAGAGAGCAGATTTGTGCGTTGTATTACCCGTGCTACGAACGAAAGGCAATGTATCCTTTAGCAGGATAACCCATCAGTCCTGAACTGCTTCTCTGATAATTTAACGCTTTTCTAGACTAATAGAACTTATGGTAGCCCAAATCTTAATCTTTTTTGTGTATGGCTTGATCAAACGAAACTCTGACGAGTTTCAGCATGTCAAGATTAAATCGTTCACCGCATATTAAATATCAGAGAGAATCAAAGCCTACGCGTGTTTAAGCAAAAATAGGAAAAGTTACAGATATACGCACTTAAATTATCAAAACTTAAAACACAACGGTAATTTTTCAATAAAATTAATGCTTGTACACTGAGATGTTACATATTATTCATATTTGGCTATCGCATAATATGTAAATATATATATATGTATAAACATAGTGTCTGCTACGTTTTTATGCTGTCTTACGATTTTCGACGAAAATCTAAATATGCAAAAAAAAAAAAGGTAAAAAAAAAATTGTCGAATGCGCTGATTTCCTACTAGCTGATCATAGGCTACTACTGGTAATGCTGATATTGGCGATGTCTGTGGCGTTCAAACAGCAACATGAAAATAATGAGTAAGTAAATGAATGCTCAGTTGGGCTTGTAAGAAATCCCTGCGTTTTTTGCCGTTTGTCGCTGCCAGGTAGAATGGAGCGTCAGTGAAGTACCGTTCACGACACTCACTGTAGAGGCAGCGACGGCCATCTGTTGCAGAATCATATACTACTAAACAAGATGGCGCGTCAGTAAAAATGAAAAAAAAAAGCCGCATTAAAAAATTTCCGATAATTTGGCGCATTTTTTTGATAAAACCCAGTTTTCTATACTCGTCCAATACTGATGAATAGATGCGGCAGTTAAAACTCGTTAGATTATTCGTGCCTCGTACGATCGCGCACGTAGTTTGTGGCGTTTCCGTTATGGATCGATGCAACTTGTTTCGGCGCAACTTAGCTAGATTTTGAAATATGCTTGCCCTCATGTAGAAAATATGTCACATAATAGACTGACAGTGTCCAGTCTAATCAGTAGAACGTTCGCTAACTGTACACATGATAAGTTATATTTGTTGTATTACACTCAAAAAACAATGCCTCGAAAAATGTTTATCGCTATTAGGTGCATTGATCAACACGTACTGGTTTCGCTAAATCAGGCGGGTAATTCAAAAGTTATGCAATGCTTCTATCAGAAAAGGAATTTCGTTTACTTACGTTACGCCTGTCGGAGGTAGTGGACCGCAAGCCCCCTTAGTCGGCACTGGTGTGGGAGAGTCAGTGAAACACCCCTCAACAATAGCAGCAACTGTGAGGGTTCATCGCGAGTCAAGCTAAAATCTTCGCTATTCGCTGCTCGGGTGCGGTGTTCGCAAAAACATCAGTAGGTGGAACGATACGTTATTGCGTAATAATGGTACAGCTGTCGTTGCTGTTACTGCCCATCGGCGTACATCAGCTGAGCTGTGAAAGGGCGAAAGAGAAGTTGGGACGTCAACATGAACGGATGGTCGTCGTTGATTCGAATCGTGGCAAGAGTTGCTGTCCATTGTTTACGAACTAGTGGCAGGATACAAGCAAATACAATAGACAGAGTCAAACTTCCCTATGGCTAGCTGGTGTGCGAACTAAGAAGGATTTCTGACTAGCATATGTATGTGTACACAGTACAGGTCCGTACAAAGAGCTTGAGGAAGTCATGTCTATGGTGTTTGTATACATGATTTTTCATTTGAGTCGGATGAATTGTTCATTCGACATTGGGGTACTGTCAAGTTGATCTGCCTCCCATGTAATCGTTATTTCAAAATCAAGATGCTCGCATCCTTTCCCAGCTGTACAAAGCGGATGTTATAATCATTAGTTCGAATGCAGAACTAATCATCTTCGGAGAAAATGTATCACAGTTCCTACAGCCGTTGTGCAGGGGGTTTCACAAACGCAGTGCACCCACATTCCCCTTTGATAATTAACGTATATAATGCACCTAGTGCTGGCTTTCCTGTGTTACAGCTCCCTTCGTGTAAGTAAATCTATTATTTAATTTACTCCTTGTTTTCTATGAGGGTTTAGGAATAAGGATTATCGTAACACCTAATGTAATTCGTAGGGTACAGAGTAACCCTATACAAATCATTCTTGAAATTTTGCTACTCAAGGCCTCGTGAAAGTCAGATGGTAAGGCTGAAAAGGGTATGGACTGAAACTCCTACCTTTTGAGCCGCTTTTTTTTCCATAAAATGCTAGTATCTCTGAGCAAAAATTTATAGCCGGGTCTAACGGTCTGGTGCATACGTTTAAGCTTTCCTTATAACAAATTTAACCAACATAATAGCAGATACGACTTCTTGAGTCCTTACTTAAAAATAATGCACAAGTTCAAATTGTGTTTGAGGTAAGTTCGAACGTACGAGTTTGACTTGGCTAGCGATGACAAGTTGAAGGCATGGCGGAACTGCAGATGAAAAATCAGACTACGTTCTCTTAACAAATTTTTCAGCAAATTATCGAGTGAGAACAGTTTACGCTGTCAATTATGCACATGAGACATAACGATACCGATTTCGCGGCCTCATTGCTGCCAATGAAAACAATATATTTTACGTCATAATTTTACAGATACATATTGTTTGATAATCGATAGCGATGATGATGATGATGTTATGTTATATAATTAGCAAATATACGATCTAACAGTGAAATTTTTATTCGTACGTTTTTACGCTCGCGTGCATTATACGGACTTTTTAAAATCGTGGAACAAATTGTTGCAAGCTTGCTGCCGTATTGTCCTACGTGCAGTTTTGGTTAGATACAATAAACCTGGATAGATCATGGCCATGTTAAGTTGCTATAGATAAAAGCATCTATCGATTAGTTCAGCGCATATCGATTTGATAGCAGTTCTTGTCACCACACACTATAGCCTATAGATATATAGTAAATAGAAATAAACTTGGACAAACACGTGCATTTCGTTAAATTATAGCTCTGCATAGGAACCTTCCCGGATGTTCCCCATTTTTTTGTTTGCTGGTTCAAGAACAGTGTAATCGGTCGACAGCCCTGAAGCAACGTCAAGTGAGAAGCATCGTCAAACAAACATCGAGTGATCAGAGCCACTTGCGGCAACGTTGGAATTTTCATAATTGTTGTTGATTCGGACGTTTATAAATGCTACGACAATAAAATGGTCAACAACAACGGCACGTTGGGTCCATGTGATACGTTCGCCAATGGTCCTTTAAGAAGTTGCACATTAGCTTATTCTGCTAACTCACTTCGAACTCTTGCTTCCGAATTAACGTAGTAACAAAACTATTTTAGCACACAGCTTACCTTCTAATTGTCACAACATTTAGAATCTCTAGGATATCGATGTGGGTTAAGCAAATATCGATCAGAGCGAAAAAAAAAAAAAGGTCATTGCTACGCTCAACCTGAGCTAATTAACTTTTTTGCAAGAAAACATTAGGTAGTCGGCCTACTGTTTTGTCATCGATTGATTGGTGTCCTCATGGACAGTTTACAGCCCAGAAACGACACAATAATTCGACTTAGGAATAAGGGCTCATTGGTAGGCCACCTTGTATTTGTAATCAACGAAAATTGACCGATTACTCGTCGAATGAGCGCCTGTTATCTTGTTCTCTAGATTGCGAAGCCTGTGCTTCTGTATACGCTACGTTATATTTATTCATTTTTTTTTTTTCGACTTTTAAGGATGCATAAAGTAAAGCATCACAATACAGTAAGAGTTAGTTGGTGATGTTATGCAATATAAGCACAAAATTTCGTAGTTTGATTAGTTTAACATTTATAAAGGTCATTGTCGGCTTTTGCTCAAAAGAGAGAATCATATGATGGTCGTCCTGCATCCACATCGTGAGCCCTAGCTCATATCGTATCTATACGGTCAGTTATACGTGTTGCAGCTGACACCGCTGGGCAGTGTTTGACAGAACTCAGCTTTAACCGGTGATACCGTGAAGTCCGTTTAGCTTGTACTTGTAAATATATGAGATGCATATGTGAGAAGCTACAATTGTCTTCACAGTGTTGTGACAAAGTTCCGTTTAACTACAGTTGATTGAAAGTGTGGTCAATGAAGGCAGTTTAAAGCGCACGGTTCCGTAAACAACGTTAAGTTTAAGTTGTCGCTGTTGTTTAAGATGCTGCTGATGCGACCCGAAAAAACCGGCTCGTTTCTAAACTATTCTTTTTAATTCTTAGAGACGTTACTGAGGCCGATAATCAGGTCGCTCTTTGAATCACTCTCTACTTTTCTATAGATTTGTCCTGGCAGAAGATATTATCAATGTGTACTTTCTTTTCTCTAAGACACTTACCTATAAAAGCACTTAAAGGTTGCATGCGTTTTATCGCATGTACATCTGACTGCCGTTTATGCTTCTTGTAAGTGATAACTTGAATTAGCTCGACGTCGGTTATTTCGTTGATATTTGGGCAACTGAAGATTTAGTGAAAGTCGCGGCTATAGTAATTGACCGTCTGTCTTTTCGCTTTTACTGTTTGACTTTTGCTCGTTTTTCCTTCACTGGCTGACGCAGCTCGAATCTGCGTCGTCGTCGTCGTCGCCGCCGCCGCCGCCGCTGGCACAACGAACGGCGCCGTCGGGGAGCCCTCTCACGAGTGACGGCGCAAGCAACTTTCCCTTTCGGTTCGCCCCTACGGTGGCAGCGAGCGTTGCGTGCGACGGTGTGGCCCTCGGTCTGGCTCCGGATCGTGGCTGTTGCTTCAGTGGCATCAGGGGCGCACGACAGGGAGCGTGCTGCTACTCGTCAACACTGAGCCAGCTACTAACAAAATATAGTAGAAGAAAAAAGATCAAGTATCGTTCAGATCGACGGTTCAATCGAAGTGAAGCAAGCTGGACTGACAAGAAGACTAAAGCAACGGCGTCGCATGCTACGCTAGATGACGGGACGAACGGAATCATAAAACGCGCTTGAATGCAACAGGAAAATATCGACCTGTGTTAAGGCCTACTATCTCTTTCTAATGCCTCTGACTATCTCTATCAAAGTTATACATCTGAAGGACGACAAATGGAAAATTACGGCTCGGCGTGACTCCTTTTTCGTCTATTCTTCTTGCCTTTTAGTGCTTTTTTCTTGCCTATGCGCTGTACATACACTGCTATCCACTTGCTTGTGCTATCTACCCGTGAGCCTATTCAAAACGACATGATTGAGTGAAGCAACTCTAACGGTCGATCTTCATAAACGCGTAGCCATCAGTACATCAACTTCTTTCACTAGCAGCATCACAAGCACGACCTCTACTGCTACCGCTGCTGCTGCTGCTGCTGCTGAGCTTCATCTTAAAAGCGAACTTGTTCTTTTGTTGCGATGTATGAGTACATGCTGTTATATTGAGTACATGTTATTGTAATGTACAGTGGCAACGTTGTTTCTCTTTAACCACTTGTGTTTCTTCTCTGCGTTTGCTTATCCAACGTTTTTGTTTTTATCAGAGGAAAATCCGGCAATCTTGTTCACTGTCTGTCTAATTTCTGTAACCTTTCTCTATGCTTGTCTTCGTCAAAAAGAGTGGCATGCTCCAGCCTTTTGAAGCGCAGCTCTTCGTTCAGCATTTCGTTGATAATGCTATTCATTTTTTTCTATTTTTCTGCTACTGCTCTTAAGCTGGTGCCCCTCATGTTGCCTTACCTTTCGCTCGCCAAAGTACCACTGTAGTGTGCCCCACCTGGTCGAATCGGATGTACACTACATTACAGCGAATTCTCAAGCACCGCTGCGGCTACTGAGGTCTCATCCGATGCTTTCTGCTATCAGCCTCCACCGACTCTCGCCTTTTTTTTGCCCCCTCCAACCTTGGCTTCTTCTCAGATGGTCTCTGCTGCTGATGCTGTGGCTGAAAATTCAGCTGCATACCAATCTTAATCTACGGATCACGTTCTTAGTATTGCCTGTTGCCCTCTAGCGCATTTCATCTGCGAGACATTGCGTCCTGAGAAAACAGTGAACCTTCAGTCGGTGTAATAGTTCAGCGTGGCTGATACATTAGCTGGCATGTGCAATGTAAATGTCTCAACCGTAAGCAAACGAAGGGTATGCTATCATTATATTCTCTAAGTCTAAAAGTGTGATACGTAAGTGTAAAGTTATTGATAAGTGTGTGTGTGTGTGTGTAGATAGCTAGAAACCAAAGTGCAACGGTCTGAGTTGATATAGCGAAATTCTTGGTGAAACATTTCCGTGTCCTAATAAAATGCTATTGTGAATTATCAGGATATCAGTGCAAACTCGAGAATGCTGGACTTAATCTGTTAATTGTGCTGGAATTGTTGTTCTGTACGTATATGTTAACCAGGTAAGTGTAGACAACCGTAATCCGAAGTCCTGTGCGACCAATTGATGATCACACAGGTAGGTACTCGTTAGAGACAGATAGATAATGCTGAATCACAAGTCGTTTGAATAGATTAACTTATTTCAATCGAAGACGACTGATTTAAAATTCGCGCGACAGGCTGACACGCAGCCACACACAAGCAGTCTTTCGCTATATCTGTCAGCTTGCCAGAGGTTCTTTCCCAATATTCCCAAGATCGGAACGATCCAAAGAAAAATATTTTTTGTGCAATGTCTATAATAAAGCTCTACTAAAGAAAGATTAGCGAATCCGTCTTTTTCTTTAAGTTAAATTTGTTGTTACAACAAACATTAACATTTGACACCCCCTCCCCCCCCACCGCTCCCCTGGTTCTTAAGATGTTTTAGGTCCGTTCGAGAGATTCTAGAGACGTATGCGTGTGTTTTGCCAATCTACTTACAACGACTTCTCTGGCTGTGCTTCCTGTTCTCCCCTTCAAATGAATTCTAAATGCAATAGTGTATGTACGCACAGAACGCCAACGACGTTCGGTCGTCAGCAGATCGGCGCATTGCTTTTCAGCTCATTTGTTCGCCAATTGATTTGTCCTCATGCTAAGAAATGCAAATTCGAGTCGCGATAAACGGCCACAGCTCGGCTGTGGAGACGTTATCCACTGCCTATTGCGTTGCTTACAATGGTGCTTGCCGTTCCTCTGTGCCGCGACGCTGAGGAAATCGACTTTGTGAACGTCGGCCATTGCCATTAGCTGAAAAGGATGAACCGTCATCAGCGCCATCCTTTCGTTACATTCGGCGTTACATTCGTGTGTCCAGTTGTACCGTTCGAACAAAGCCCCCTAAGCATTTCACTTTACAGTTTGAACCGCCAGCCGCCGCGGGGCTCTTTTCCTTTCCTTTAGATAGCATTTTCGCATACGCAAACGCTCATATAGGAGCTAGGCGGAAAAGCAATGCCAAGTCCGTTGTAGTTAGGAGCAATACAGCCTCCTCTCAACTTCTCGGACTCTCGGCCTTCTGTTGCTGGCCCGAGAGAACACTGAAGGCAGGGCCACTAACAGGACGTTCGTATTCACTGAGCGACACGGACACCGGGCTGCCACACGATGCTACCGTTGTTCTTGCTGGACACATAAACCGACCAGGCCGAATCGAACCGACCGTACGCCCAAAGCCCAGGCAAGGTAAAGCAGAATCCATTCACTGATGGATGTATAAAATGGCAGAGTTACCACCATTCAGTTGTCTGCCGCCTCCTGTGTGTATTCGCCGGCCGTTTAGCCGCCCCGTTCCGGCTGGCCAGGCCACCTTAACTACGTGTGGTAATTGCCTAGTAAAGTAGACAACTTTTGAATGCCGACTCATCGTTGAGCGAGAACGCCAGCAAGAGGGAGTGAAATAGCTGGACAGTCAATCGAAACTGATGGCGTGGCTCGTAATGATCTTTCTGTTCGACGCGGTGACGACATTCTCAGCCGAAAGGCAACAGGCAACAATGGATCTTTGCATCGAATAACGGTTCTTCAGTTCAATTGAAGGTGGTGACCATCTCGATGGCTTCGGCAACAACCATAAATCCCTGTTTTTTCTCCTTCGTTTTTACAAAATGGGGTTATCCTGATGTTAACCAGGAAAACGAAGAAATAGCTTATACACAGCTCTGCAAATACTCTCAATTTGAATAGTCATCGTATCTAGCTGGTCATATTTGCTGCGAATGTCGACCTAAGAAGACAAGCCACTGTCTGTGAGGGCTCAAAAGAACGCCGATTGTCATCAACATAGGCTATAGTAATAAATTAAGATATATTTTTTGCATCGATAACCGCATGAAATATTTCATTAGTAATGTTGGACAAGGACATATACATCTGTTGATAAACATCCGTCACCGAAGCGGTAAGCCGGGACGGTGTGGCTGTACGCTAATCGCTAATACCTAGAAAGGCGGGATAACAGCTCGAAACAAAAGCAGTTGAATCACGCGTTTAGCAAGCATACACACCTCTTTTCGATGTAGCGATTACTGGCTACAAATCACCGCCATCCTGCCCCCCGTCTACGACACATATTAGGTTGGACTTTCCTTGTCCACTTGTTTAAGCAATGCTCGCAGATGTTGCCCTAGGCCGCAAATTTAACTTCATGACCCGCCCACAAACTGGTGAGGAATTCCCAGAAAGAATCGCTTTAGCCATAGCGCCTATTCTTTTCATAACCAGTTAGACAAGGCCTCATTGGGACAAGTCATCGCCATGCCCCTCGTGACTACGCGAAGTGGACACAGCGGACCTGAACTCCCCCGTCAGATACAACAGTACGTAAAAATACAGAAAGGGTGCTAAGCGACGGAAAGTCCGCTTCAAACATTCGTGCTGCCCCGTAACAAATACTGCAAACGTTTGTTCACAGATATTGGCTGGTATCGGCAGTGTGCGGTGTTATCAAAGGCATAATCTATCGTTATAGTGAGTAGAACAGTGAGTTTCGCTGAACTCTAACACAACAAACAAGTAGGAAAGAAAGTAATATCGAGCGATGACGCGATAAAGCGTTTGTGGCGCTCGAATTGGTTGGGTTTCTGAGATGAACCCATGATCTTAGTGCTTTTTTTTTTGCAACATTTCGCAACTATACATTTTACTAGGGGATATTATTCGGTTAGCAGTCATGCAAGAAGTTCTTGACTCATTGCTTTTTTTTTTTTTTTTTTTTTTTATATCCAAACAAGCACAACTTTCTAAACGTGCAAAATTTAACGACCACAAAGAAGCGCTATTGCAGAAACATGCGTTAAGACTGCTTACGATTGTTCATCGAGCTAATGTAGTAAGGCAGAAAACCAGTTATTTTACACAGTGTGTGATAGCATCAAATGCTTTTAATACGAATTTCCATACACGAAAATCATTAAACAAAATCATCATTGTAGTTTGATTATGTGGTAACACCGAGCACTAGCATCACTTTAAGCATCTATATTGGATACGCCGTTCTAAATCAGTACCGAAATGAAGACTCGCCGTCTGTTGTTGATTATGGTAGACCACTAGCAAACCATTATGGTAGCTTACCAGCGATTTGGCCAACGAGGAGCGTCGACGCATGTGAGCTTCGTCGTCATACGTATTCGCTGGCTTTCAGACGCAAGCCTTCACCTAAACGTCGTGCTTGCTGCGGACATTATCTCCGTCACCCTGATGTGTGAGTGTATCGCATGCATCTTATGTATTTTATGTACGAGGCATTGCTTGCACGGAGTGCTATAATCCGTTACAACAGAGATGCAGTCTACGATGTACCCGTATTATTACCTGATTGTGCCTTTCGCTGCTGCTGTTCATGTAGTGATGTCCGCGGCTCGTTTGTGTTCTATGTACGTAAGCCACTGCTGCAGCGGCTGCATATGGCACCAATGCTGTGACGGCCGCGCATACGCAAAATACGGCTTGGGTGCATGGCTCGTTTCTAGAGCTGTATGGCCGACAGCCATACAGATCACGACCTATGACACTCCGGGGTCGACGTCTGCTTACTACCGCGCGCCTTCCGTTGACTTGTTAACTCGGTGCCGGTAACGAGCGCTCGGCAACAGCCGCCACGGCTGTTACATGCCTCTTTTTTATTGGCGCTTCAGGAAGTTACCAAACTATTGCTGTTATTGCCGCTGCTGTCGGTGTGACAGTCATCGCCGTAGCCCAGTAGAAGCAACAGTAGTACGGATATGTCATAGCCATTACTGGACGCCAGTCGGGCTCCAGCTTAAGCACGGCTGATTTAAAAAGGCGGGCCGGGAGAAAGGAAAATTGAGGCAGGAGGAGACGACGTTGGCTCTTGGCACTGCAAACTATTCACGATTCATTGTATCGGGAGGGAGACAACGGGGGTTGTGACTCGACCACTCAACAACTGCCGCTCTGCCGAGCGTTGGCGGACGTTCAGAGGGCTATGCTTCTTATTAGTCTACAGCATTGGGCATCCGCGCTAGTCGCAGAAGTCGCGTAGAAGATCTGTCTGATTTGCTCTATTCTGCCTGGGCTATAGACTACGATAGTGTTAACTGAATGAAGGTAGATAGCCGTTAGTAGCACATAGCACAGCTTAAGATCATTGTTAGCTCTCTCGCCAGTGATCTGAGCAAATTGATTTCTGATGCGACAGTGCCAGTACAGCCTCTGGCAGTCTGAAAAAAGGGTACTATTGGCCTTCATAGTATCCTTAGTACTTTCACTATGACGGAGATAATTTGTTAGACGAGGTAGAAAGAAAATTATTAACCATGGATTGTGTGCTGCACTCATTCCTTAGAACCAAACAAAAGGGCGGCGGCTACCAAGTCTTCAATGGAACTTTTGGTCTTAATCCAGATATTCGCTCGTTTCCGCTTTTTGTGATACAGCGCCAGCCGCATCAGACATCAGTTTGCTGCCACTGTCGATGTTGCTTTTCAGCCAGTTTGATATTGCCATGAAACCCGTTTTTCGTTATTGTTAGCCTCATTAACGGTTACAGGCAGTGTATGACCATAATTATATTGCAACGCAATAGATTGCGACTGTACTGAACATTTCTTGGGGTATATTTACGCCCTCGCTGACGACAGCCCATCAACACAGTAATATGCAACAATCAACAGTGCTGTCGACGACCAAAACAACAGCAGGGAACAAACGTCGACTTCCACCCATGAACCCCGCCCCAACTGAAGCATGCGTCAGACACTTAAAGAGGCGTAGGGCGTCCACCTACACAGGCAGGTAGACACGCAAGTTACACTGTTGTTGCTTACGCGACAGGAAAACCGTCACTAGCGGTACCTTCCCCTGCTGTGATCGGTCAGAAGCCCCACCGGAAGGATGGTAGTCAGCGCCGCATAACGGAACGTTTATGATCGGAGAGTGAGTTTCTAGGAGAGCAATTGTGACGTTGTCATGGCTGGAAAAGTCACAATCAGAGAGGCTTGCAGAAAGTAAGAAT